CCACACCCGGCCCCGCCCGCCGCGCCAGGCAGCTCCCACCCAGCGATGACGCTAATTAGAAGTTTTAGTCTCAGCAGTTAAACAATGTACCAACCAGTCTCAACACCGCCTGCAATTCAAACGGCTCTGAGAACAAAGGCAATCAGCGCTGCAGCAATTTTTCCTCTAATTTACAGAACGTGAAGACTTTCTCTCACTACGCATTGCACTTATAATTTTAAAAAAAGGTTAACCTCAAAGGTACAGGCCACTTCACAAGGAAATTAGCATTTCTGTGCAAAAAACGCCAGACCATGATGGCTACAACTAACCAAAAATAAAACAAAAACAACCACTGTCTCCAAAAAAAAAAAAAGATATTAAACTGGAAAGTTTGGTCCCTCCTGCAAAACAAATGTTCCTGGATCACCTGGTGGAAATAAGCAAGGTGTGCAGAGAGGTGGGGGAGCTGTCTTCTTATAGTTTACAGACTTTGTAAATAAGAGAAAAGCAAACTGCCCAGGAAACTTACCCTTTACTATCTTTCCAGTAAAATTATGAGAATTTGCATAGTTTTTAATTCTTCCTGGTGGAGGCTGCTATTGTTCACAGTAATATCAGTTGAATGGCTACTTGTTGGTCCAAAGGGGAAAACACCAAATGCCAGAATTCCGTTTTCTGGGTGCAAGGGCAGCTTTCATGCCTAATGACTGGCATCTTCACCGGAAACCACCAGAACATTCCAGCAACACACCCGAGGCCAGTCTTATTTCAAACCTCACAGCAATCCCAGTAGATAAAGGTCACCAGATTCAAACAACAAAGTCAAAACTGCAACTATCAACTAGAATAACTATTTCAAGGATTATGGGGAAATTTATATATTGGGAAAAAGTGAGAGGAACCCTCAGGAAGGGAAATAATCAGGCCTGTTTTTCCCTAAAAAACTAGAATACTCCATTCACAGTTCTGAATATTAAACTCTTCATTTAATTTTTTTAAAAATTGACTTCAGAGAGGAAGGGAGAGGGAGAGAGAGAGAGAAATATCAATGACTAGAGAGAATCATAGGTCGGCTGCCTCCTGCATGCCCCACGCTGGGGGATCAAGCCCGAAACTCTGGCACATGCCCTGACAGGGAATCGAACCATAACCTTCCTGGTTCATAAATTGAAGCTCAACCACTGAACCACGCCAGTGGGGCTCAAGTTGTAAATGTAGAGTGGAATTTTCAGGATGAGTAAAATTATACATGCAAATATGTGCTTACAAAAAGCCAACAAAACACCAAAAACAAAAAAAAAGCCTTTTTATACTTTATTTTCTAGTACTGGTTTGCTCTTTAAAGCAATCTGCATCCATATTAAAAGAATTATTGAACAACTTAGAAGTTTATGAGAAAGATTTAGGGAAAAAAAACATAGGCAATGAACTATGAAATGGAGTAGAAAAGTAATAAAAACAACCACTACAAAAATGTTGCATAAAATAGGTTATATGACTCATATATCTTCCCCTTTCACTATATATTTTTTTCAAAAACAGATTATAATTTTTTCAAAGTTTCAGGGAAGCATAGTTTTCAATCCCACTCCATGCATTTACCAGGGCATGCTCTAAAATGACTCCATTTTTAAATGAAAAAAAAAACTTAACTCATTCACTTTATGGAAAATTCATTTAGTGCCTTATTTTTATTACAAAATGCTATTTTTGTTTAGCAGCTAAGTTTACTTCTCTAAATATTAAATGACAAATATCTGAACACAATTTAGCTTCACTGTAGTAACCATTTTAAAAGTTAATCTTTTTTTTAAACATGAAAATCAACTAATTTCAAGTTAAAGCAAATAGAAAGTAAGAAGCAATTAAAAACAAATGCAAACATTTTCAAATGCTAATGTGTCTACCTTGCTTACCTTTAATGCCCTGAAAATGAGATGGCATTCTTAAAATGCTTAAATTAAAAAACAGCAACACAAAAAACAGGTGCCTGATAAATAAAAATAGAAAAGATTCCCAAAAACTTGTTCTGAAAGATGAAACAAACCTGATGAGCAAGCGAGAACATAGGCAGAAAGCTTCTTAAGAGAAAATATAATATTCCCCCAAAACTTATCCTTCCAAAATTCCCCACTGAGTTAAAATATAAACTTTTAAATGGCTTTAAAGTCTTAACTAAATCAGTTTCTGTGTACAAGACACCTCCCTTAACATTTATAAGCTTTATACATGCTTCCAAATATATAAGAACATTTAAATCATTCAGTATAATTTTTTAAAAAAAGAGTATTTCAGTTTGAAAAATCCATGATATCTACCTTCAGATGATAAACATCATAATAAACATAATAAATATTCTGTAATGAGAGACATAAAAATAAAAACATTTAACAAAATATTCTTGTAAAAGTAAACAGTTAACGGCGGGAACACCCATGCTGGTATCAATCTCGGCGCTTATTTTAGCATTTACTTTTAAAAGTAAAACGCCATCAAGCTGGTAGTCAAATCTGCAATTTTGCTTTAAACTGAAAATAGAGACCGCAGATTACGATGAAACCACATACTGTCCAGAGAGTATCTCCACTTAGAATCGTTGTCACCAACATCGCAGTTATCATTTCTCATTGATCCAATACTGTTTGTTGACGCTGTTTTTATAATGACCATTTATTTCCTCGTTTGGAAGTCAAATCAACAGCCCTACTCCATAAACTGGTTATTTTTATAAAGAAGCTGTATCCTGGCTTTAGCGCGCAGTCCTCCGCCGGCCCGCAGGGCGGGAGCCCCCTGCGCATCACCTCTCCTCTGCGCAGCGCGGCGGTGACACCTTCCCGAGGCTTTTCAAAGGCACAGGGCCCGCTGGGCGCTGCCGACAACTCTACACGCCTTGCTCCCCTCTCGCAGCCACTGTCACCTAAGTTTGATGACAGGGAGACCTACACTGACATCTGTCCCCGGAGCACGTTCTTTTCTGCAAGCAAGAACAGCCCAAATGAGAAGCAGGACTAAAAAATAAGTGCTAGCCCGGGAGAGCTGCGGTGTGTGCAGCAACCTTTGACGCGAGCACTTCTCCCGGGTTCCAAAGCCGAGGGCGGGGAGGGGGGGGGGAGAACCCCGACATTACAAACAGATGCGTTCACCAAAAGGATCAAGCCACTAAAACCCACCAGGACGGTGCAGTAGGTCCCCGCAGGAAAGACAGGGGAGGAGAGAGATTTAGGGGGGCATCTCCTGTCTACAAGCCAGAGAAACCTAACACAAGAAAGCTTTCACCAAGCAGGTCCTGTCAGCCTTGGCGCCCCACGGCCGCAGTTCGTCCTCCACACCCCGGACCCTCACCCTCACCAGCCTCCAGGCCTTGGCTAAAGTCCACGGTGGCACCAATGTCCAGGGCAGCTTCGTGGTCCCAGGGTCCGCCCATCCGGCAGCAAGGTCAGCAGCTGGAGGGAGCTGGAAGATGGGCGGGGCCTCGGGGCGGGATGGGGAGCACCCATCAAAGAGGCGGGGGGGGGGGCCCCCCCCCCCGCCTCTGCCCCGCAGTGTCCAGGCAGCT